CACTCTGGTTTTGGTGACTTGGTGTTTCCCAGATTAGTCTTGTGCCCTCTTCCTATGCACGCTCATACCTGCTACTCACTCCTAGCACTGACACACACACAGTCCAGTAGGGATCAGATGTGTGGTAGAGTAGGTACATCACATTCAACACAATCAAAGAAATGTTCAAAAGCACACCTTCATTACCCCACTCGGTTTCTTCCACTCAACACTCCACCTTCCAATTCTCTCACAAATCAGTTATTCCATTCTGTATTTTTACAAAATAATCCCTGATCTCAAATCCACCTCACAATTCAGACTTCATTTTTCATATGATCTGTTTCAATCAGTTCATATGAGAAACGCAACTCAATATATTTCCACACTGTTACATCTGCCATCTTCCTAAGAGATAACATACCACATCGTTCCCTTGCTTTAAAACATCTAATATCTGGCTATCTATAAAAGGAAGTCCAAATCCTTAGCACAGCAAATGAGAAAACAGACAATACACTTTTAGAATAGCACCTTTTCAAAGAACACTGGCTGAGTCCCAGTTCTAGTGCTTATTAGCTATGTTACCTTTAGCAGGTCACTTTACATCTCTTAAATTTTCTCATCCACAAAACAAGGATATAAGAGAACCTACTTTCTAGGAGTCTAAGAGGAATAAGAAACTCCATGCCAAGTATCAGCACACTGTATCTGGTAACTATAAACCTGGGCTGTTCTATTTATCTAGAATGCATCACTTCCTAAAGGGAGCAAATAACCAAAGTTTTGCCTCTATATATTTTAGAATGATTAACAATAGGAGTTAAATCAGAAATGACCTTTTGTTAATGAACCAACAATAAACTGTAACCAAAATACTGAATTCATGAAAACTTCAGTTTGTCTAAAATTTACCAAGTTTTAAAAGTCAAGTACTCATTTATTTAAAAAAAAATTAGGTAATTTTGTTTTATTTTCCCATTCAGGTTCAGGAAGAAGAAAATGTAAACTCATTCATAAGAATGTGGTTTTCTATAATATAATATCCATATAAATGAAATTCCATCTCAACTGCCTATGTAATTTACTAAAGCTGTATACGTATAACAAAATGAAGTCTCAGCTTAATAAAAGTATGTATCAGATGGTAAAGCAACATTCTCAGGCCTCACGATTAAAAGACAAAAATCACAAACTTTTTAAAAGTCAGTGATTCTAGAAACATAAAAAAATTACAAAGCCTTCTATACTAAAAATAAAAATAAAGAAGACCCGAAACATTTTTCAAAAGATTAATATTCTTATGGTGTTAACACTAATGAAACCTGGTGAAAAAGTTTCAGGGAATATATGGGCAAAGAACAAACAATTCATTCAGAGGAGAAAAGAAAACAAAAGAATACTGCATTTGCTTTTCTATTGTTGTACAGCAAGTACTCTTATCCTCATTTTTAAAAAACAGAACTTTTAAAAATGAAAGACTGTGAAAGTATGATAGAACTGCTCAACTAAACTCTGTTGGAGGCAGTGTAAATCAATACCTCTCAAAAGTAAATCTGGCAGTATCTTTTGAAACTGACAAAACCTTCATACCCTCTGACCTTATAATCCCCTCCTTTGCTTTTAGCCTAAAGGAAAGAAGCAATATGATGATCACATGGCAAACTGCTAACTGCAGAAAGTACAGTGTACTACTGGACCAGTGAAGACAAAAGGGATGAAATGTCTGGACAAGACTCTGAGGTGATATTTGAGTAAGGTGGAGAAAGGCAAGTACACATACTAAACTGTACTACTTAGAAACAGTAAGCAACCTACATGACCAATTATGAAGAAAAAAGTAACTCAACTCACTGTAACACTGTATAATAACCTAAAGGTATAAAAACCATCGTAAAAAAATAATGCATTAAATGAGTGCAAATATTAGACATTTATTTCAATTATAGTATAAAATCATATAAATAGGACAATAAACAAATAAGAAAAATTAAGCTTATTTTTATTTTACTTCTTTGACTACTACATCATTTGTAAAACAAAAAGCCTGTTGGAATTTATCAGGCCCACCATATTAAGTACCTATTTAAAAACTGACTGGTCAGATGTATAAAACCACAATTATCAACTTTTTCCCTAAAAACCTATCACAAAGGAGTAATCAGAGAGGCTCTTCTCATATAGACAAGCAGTCCATGTAATTTTAGCCATGCTACTAGCCAGCTGTAACCTTATTAAAATCTCATTTTACCATCAAAATGTAACTGTCTGCAGGATCTCCATATGGTGATCAGAAACCACTTGCTATGGGGCATCTGGACAGAGGCCCCAACACTAAAGTTAAAACTATCTGGCCAAGTAGAATGGTTAAGGTTTGGTTTCTCCTATGCTCCCAAATGAGTTATCATGTTTCTCAACCACTCAAGGGTTCTAAGTCCCTAGGAGTGGCAGCTCAGGATTAGACAAGGAAAAAAGTCCAAGCAGATTTGCTGTCTCTATGAAAAATTCATGAATTTCTCATTTTCTCCCATGAAGAAGTGAAAAACAAACTTGAGGTCGGGAGATGTGAAACAGAGGTGATCCTATGTAATCTCAGGAAAGTTATTTTGCCTTTCCAGAATTTAGTTGTTGAGTGGTAATTTTTTTAAGTTGAATCAAACAATTCATTAATTCATGTTCAATATCTACTAATATAATAGATCCCTGTTTCAATACACACCCAATTCTCTCACAACCCCTTCTCAGGTATAAGGCAAATATTAAAGAGTTAGAATTAGAGCCAGGCACTGGTGGCTCACGCCTGTAATCCTAGCTACTCAGGAGGCAGAGATCAGGAGGATCTTGATTCAAAGCCAGTCCAGGCAAATAGTTCATGAGACCCTATCTCAAAAAACCCTTCGTAAAAATAAGGCTGGTGGAGTGGCTCAAGGCGAAGGCCCTGAGTTCAAGCTCCAATACCGGAAAAAAAAAAAATTAGGAGACTGAGGGCAAAGGTGAAATACAAAGATGGTAGAAACGCCTGGATCAAATTCCAAGCTCTGTTCCATTCTTGCTACATGACCTTGGGCAAATTACTGCGTCTCAAAACAAAATTCTAGGACTCAGGCAACAACAATCCTTACTGGCTACACCTTTCTTATTCCTGCATCATAAGTGCATATTTTTGGCATAACTAGGATTTCATTCCTAACCAGCAACAATTTTTACTTCATTCTTGGGTATTTAAAAGTACTCTGCACATGTATCTTGTCTAAGTTTTCTGATACTGATATAGTCTAACATATTTTGCCTATCCACATATCAAGCCTGGAAGCATTCCTCAAAAAACATATTCAAGTAAATAGTTTTTGAGCACCTGTGCTACATAACAGTATGTGTTAGAGTACCAAACTCAAGAAGCAATTCAAAAACCTCCTGGAGACAGACTTATAAGCAAATCATTAACTATTAATTTGCAAACTCTAACTGTAGAATGTACAGTATACTTCTTGATCAGTGAAGACAAGAGGGATGAGATGTCTGGACAAGACTCAGAGGAGATACTTGAGTAAGGTCATGAAGGACAAGATGTTTACTAGGAAGAGAAGAATTCTCAACAGAGAGAACAATATAAAACCACAAAGGAAGATGTCATCTTCCCAGAACTACAGTGTTATATGGAGAGGACACACATAATGGTAGAAGAGAAAACTAGAATGTAGACAAGTGCCAGAAATTGTGAAAGACTGAACTTTATCAATACAGACTTCATATGCAGAGTCACTTAAGGACTTCTAAACAAGAAATCAAAGCCATCTTCTTCCCTCATACAGAAAAAGGAGTCAGGTAACAATGAAAAAAAAAAAAAGAACTGTGGAAAGATAGAATAAAAATAATTTTAATGGAGAGTTCCTGCTCTCAGGAAAGCTTCTAGCACTTTCTTACTGTGCCATATTAACATAACACTGAAATAAGATATAAATTATGACAAAAGTGTGTATTTTTAGCCTAAAGATTATTGGAGGTCAATATTGAAAACACCAAAGAAAACCACCAAATAAGAAGACAGCAAAGCACTATGATAAATTGAGAGGAAAACATTAATGAAGTCCAAAAAGGTTGACTTCAGACAAAACATTCAGCGATGTTTACAACCTTATCATATATGAATCACATACTATAAAACGTTTTGTAGCTATCATCTCTTCAAAAGCCTAAAAGATAATGCTTTTAAAAACATGGCCAAATGAATAGGTTCCATTAATATTTTAATGTTCGGGAGAAAAGGAATGGCTTTTTAAAGGTCTATTTTGAAAAGCCTGAATCTCATTTTCTCTCTCTAAAAGTGAAACACACTCCAATCTGGGACCAAGAAGAGACCCTGCATGGGTCATTTCTACACTGCTAAGGCCTAGTGTACGAACAGCAGCCCTAACTGGCTAGGGAGCCTACAAAGATGAATTTGCAATTATTGAAATTCAAACTCAAGCTCAGCCACCAACCAGCACCTCAAAGGAGGCATTCCCCTTTTCACTGTCAAGAAAGTAGGTGCATTTTTTAAATGTATAAAAATAGCATATGTCTAAAGAAGAAAAAGAGCATCTAAATCTAGAGCAACGGTGTGCCTCATCAAAGTTTCATCTCAGGATGTGTTTTAGGGCGTGTCGTTGTATTAAAAAATAAAATAAAACCCCAGTCATTTAGGGCGCCCCGGTACTTTCCCCCATCAACCCTCCCAAGCATCCTGGCTCGGAAATCAGTGGGCATCTCAGCCTCGCCCTGATCTCCCCTTAGAGGAAGGCGGCAGCCCGAGCGACCGAGGCCCCGCGCCTGTCCCGGCCCGCCGGGGAGGGTCGCCGGGCCTCCCGGCCCCACGCACGCGCGTCGGGCGGCTCGCGGGGCACGCAAGGGGGTCTCGTCGGGGAGCGCCCTCGCCTTGCCCCGGGAACCCGAGGCTCCGCCCCGCTCCGGACCGCACCCCCGTCCGGGCTGCCTAGGGCGCCCGCCGCGACCCCGGCGCCGGCCCTGACCCCGGCTCTCACCGTGCGGAGGTCGCACTGCCTCCTCGGCCGCGGCCCGACTGCGGATCGCCCGGCGACCTACAGGCGTAAGGATGGAAGGTGAGGCAAAGGGGAGCCCGTCACGTTCCTGTCAGCTCCGCCGCCAAAGCAGCAGCAGTCCGCATCGCGTCCGCGGCCTGAGGGAGTGCCGGACTCCACAGCGCCGCGCCCCCTCCCTTAGGCCGGCGCCCGCCTGGACTCCGCCCCCCAGGGCCGCGCACGGCGCGCGCGCAGCTCCGCCTCCCCCTCCGGACGCTCGTGCGCAGGCGCGAACCTCACGGGACTAGTTCCCGCCCCGACCGCCTGACACCAGCCTCAGCCCACTCCGGTCCCGCCCCACTCTCTAGACATCCCTCCCCAGGCTCCGCCCCGGCTCCCCGACCCACCGCCTCAGCGACCTTTCTCTGTCCCGACTCAAGTCTTTACTGCGCCCAACCTCTGATGCCAGTCCTTTAGCTGACCGCACCTCGAGAGGGTCCCCTGAACCTACATTTGCTGCTCGATCACGGCCATATCTGTCAGCTCCTTCTTCAGGCTGAGAAGTTAGGAGTGGTCTGAACACGGGCACCAGCTTGAGTTCCACTTCTATAGGGCATGCCTGTGCCACGCGCCCTACCTACCACACCAGAATACTGAGTCTGACTGAGACTAAGGGGAGGGGGGCGCTCTTGACTGCTGAGATTCTGAGCTGTCCTGTGGTTCCCTACACTTGGGCTCCTTTTACAGGGATCATGCCCTAGTTCCTTTTGAGGCTTCTATCACCAACAGGCCATCTCTTCCCTCCTTCCTTCCTAGATGGTTGGACCAACCCTTGAGAGACCTCACCGTGCAGGCCTTCAGGATCTGGCCAGCTGTCGAAGCACTGGAGCTGCCCTTTATCTGGTGCTAGACTAGCTGCCCCATGAAACCAGCTCAACTGCAATAAATAACATTTAAAGAAAACCTCTTGAAAAATACTCGCTTCTATGCTCCAGACCAGTGATGCTCAAGGAGAAAAGAAAGGGGATTTCATTGATTTGTAAAATCATGTTTCACTTAACAATGTACCTTTGTATTTAGAAAACAACGTGTCATTTTTAATGTCAAAGATTGATATAAAGATTTAATTTCTTGGATGATAGATTATGTGCATTTTTAAAACAGTTTCTTTTTGGATTAAGTGAGATCATTGGAAAAGCAAACACCAGACTGGGAGCTCTTCAACATGCCCCCCAAACACTTCACTCAAGAGATGTGGTTACTAAAATGTGCTTTGGGATTTATGCAGTCTGCTAAATTGAGAAATGGAAAAAGAAGTGGCTCCCCAGAACTTGTCCTTGGTAGTGAGACATAATGCTACATTCTCAACAATCTCAGTATGAGGATTGAAGAAAGAAATCTCTCTCAGTTCTCAAAACCAGGAAGAGCTTTGCTTCTCTAAACTGCTGTTTTGTTGTCTTGTGATTCTCCAGATATTTGGGTGATTGTGTGTTCTGTTTTCTTTGGCAGTTGCAAAGTACTAGGTCACGTTTTCCTTCCTCTTCTACAAAGATAGGGAGCCTTACTGGGTACTTGCTGCCATTGAGTATTTCCCAACTTCATTGAATTTTTCTATTCCTATTTTCGTCTTTGTCCCAAATTCCTCATTTCTTTGGCTGTCATTATGTCACATTTATTCTATTTCACTTGGTCACTTGTACTGTGTGTACCAATGCGATTTTCATTTATGGGATGATTGTGATGACACAGAGAGGTTAATGCATTGATAGAAGATTTTTACAACTTATATATCTTGCTAGCTGGGAGTACACCATGCTGTGTAGGGACACATGGTGAACATCAGGCCAGAAATTTTACTGGGGTTTCTGTGGGAAGAACAACAAGGAAGGGTAGATATCTTGGGATTGGCCAGTTTGAATGATATCAGAGAAATCTGCACTATAGGAATGGTCTCTAGTTGTCAGAACCCCGCCCCTGGGTGATTTAGAGGAGGGGGAATATTGGCTTGGTATATGAAGTTAGATAAAGGGGTGATTGAGGGCATGGGGTTGGGACTTGTTGGAGGGTTTGAAACAGGACTTTCACATGCCCATGAAAGCTGAATTGCTGGGGAGGTGTTAACAACATTGGCCATTAGTTTGGATGATACATAGACAAATACAAACTCTAAGAATATGTATTTAGAATAGCTTTTAGGGTTGTACAGAGAAAGAATTGAATGTGTGTGTGTATCTGACCTGAACTCTGAGGTTAAGAGTGAGAGGGCAGACCAAGCACAGCAGTGGTTCATAAATTTTAGCATGCTTCAGAATCCCCTAGAGGGCGTGGTGCAATACAGATTGCTGGCCCCCACCTCCAGAATTTCAAACTCAGTAGGCTTGGGTAGGGCCCAGGAATTTACATTTCTAATAAGTTCCCAGCAGACCTCAATGCCACTATACGAGAATAACAATTATCCATACCTGATAGGAATGACCCTCTAGAGATGACCATCTCCCAGGAACTCTTGAAGGATTAATGAGACACAAAGGTCTAAATGTCACATGCTGTCATGTGGATAAATGCCACAACTGTGGAACCTTTAACACAGACAAGATAACAGCTGAGAAAGCCAGGGTATGACCCCAACCCATGAGCTGGTGGAATGGACTGAAGATGAAATGTCAGAGGCAGATGGTATAAAATGCCTTGACAGGATTGTAGATGGTTTGGCCAACCTTCCTTGTGTTTTTTGAATGAGCTAAATCTTTCTAAGCACAGAGACGGGGAGTCAGATGATCTTGCAGGGTTGAAGCCTGGAACTGCTTGTTAAGAAAAATACAATACAAGGCTAGCCAGGTTGGATTTCATTGTGACATTTCCATATATGCTTAAAATGTACCCTGGTTAGGTTCATCCCCACCATCATTCACCCTCATCCCCATCCTCCTCACTTAAAATGATTTTGATGTTCTATTTGCATACATATATATAAAATACTTCGACCATATTCACCCTCTTTTACCCTCTCCATTCACCATACCCTCCAGAAGTACCTGCCCACTAACAGGCCCTGTATTACATTCCAGTCTTTCATTGTTTAAGTGTATGTTCATTGTTCAAAGGAATTTCGCCTTGGTATTTCACTTGAGAATATATTGTACTTTAATCAGTCTAACTCCCGCTATACTCTTCCTTATCCCTTCCCCCATCCCATATTGTTCAACAACTTTCAGTGCATTTCACTGTGCCTTGTGGCTTCATATCCACCAATGTGATGTATTTCAGTAGGGTTCTATAACAAACAGCACTATGAAAGACTTAGTCAGAGCCCCAGTAGAAGGCAGTTCTAGAGAACATCCAAAATACACCACAAGAGTCTGGTTGATGAAGTTTTCCTCCTCCCATAGGTATTTACTGAGTACCTACTAGCTGTCAGGCACTATTCTAGATAGATGGAATTAAGTCATGAACAAGAAAAAAGAGTCAGCCAAGCGCCTATTGGCTCATGCCTATAATCCTAGCTACTCAGGAGGCAGAGATCAGGAGGATCGCCCTTCAAAGACAAATAGTTTGCAAATAGTTCGCAAGACCCTATCTCAAAAAAAACCCTTACCAAAAAAAAGTTGGTGGAGTGGGTCAAGGTGTAGGCCCTGAGTTCAAACCCCAGTACCACAAAAAAGAAAAAAAAGAAACAGGAGTCAATGGGATTGATTTCCTGGAGAAAAAAAAAAATCAACAGTTTTCCCAGAAACCAGTGTGATGGCAACTCTTGGCACCCTTGGTTACAGAAGGGCTTCTTTGTTGGTCCAAATTGCTATGACTTTGGATGTCTGGATACCTTTTAGCACCTAGAATCAGGCAACAATAGCAAACATATCCAGCAGTAAAGAATGGAAAATCCCAGATCTGGCTTCCCAGTTGAAGATGGAGAAAGTCTGCTGCTCAGCCGTGAGGATGACTAAGGGAACAGAGTAAGATGGATGTTTTTGTCCCACCCTTTAAGATGATTGGCCCAGGTCCAAGGATGTAAAGGGTACCATAGCAGGCATGATGTCTTTACAGGGCATCCTTTCTCCTGTCTTTTCTGCAGAGTTCACAAAATGACAACTGCCAATCAAAGTTGGTCAATGGTTGGACCATACCATGATTTTAAAAAACAGAAATAACATTGAATTATTTACCAACATTTAAACATTGATAAATCTCACATAAAATCCCTGTTTTCTCCTATTTGCAGGAGCAATACCAGGTCCTTTTGTTTTACACTAGCTTCATCATTTACTTGCCTGATCCTGTAAGCACTGAATTTTGCATCATGCCACAGAGGCTCACGAGAGGGTCTGGTTTCTAAATGTTAAGCTTACACTGGTTAAGTAAAATATAGAACATTGGTTCTATATTTTCCTCCCTTAGGAGGAAAGGAAATTAAGACAAACAACTATGATTTATTACACCAAAGTTTTTTACTGTGGTAAAATATATATAATATGAAATTTATTCTACTTACCATTTTTTATTATATACCTCTGTGGTATTAAATGCATTCATACTGCTATGCAACCATTACCATCATCCATCCTCAGATTGGTTGTTGTCTTGCAAAACTGAAGCTGTATAACCATCCAAAATAACTCTCCAGATCTCCCTCCCCACAATCCTCTCTGCCTCTATGAATTTGACTACTTTAGGCAACTCATTTAAGTGACATCACAGTATTTATCTTTTTGAGACTAGCTTATTTCTTTTAGTGTAACAACCTTAAGGTTCATCCATGCTGTATGTAGAATTTGTTTTCTTTTTGAAACTGAATAATATTTCACTGTATATAAACCACATTTTGTCTGTCCATTCATCCATTGATGGGCTCGTGTGTTCTGCCTTTTGACTATTGTGAAAAATGCTGCTAAAAAACATAGGTGTGCAAAGAACTCTTCAAAACTCTTCTTTCGATTATATTGGGGGTATACTCAAAGTAGAATTGCTGGATATATTTTAATTTGTTGAGGAAGTGCCATTCTGTTTTCAACAGGGGCTTAGATTTTTGTGCAGTCACATATACTGAACTGCTTAATCTTGCTAAAGATGAAAAAGGAGGGCATCCAAGCAAAGAAATACTTGTTTCTTATGAAAATTAAGCTAAGTACATATCGAATAATAAAAGCAACTTAAGTTAATAATATGGGGTTAGCAATAGAC